CTAACTGTTCCGAAGTTTTTACCGATTTAATGACCACTTCATGAATAGGCAAATCGCTTGTGGTACATCCCGCTTCCGGTTCTATCATTGCTAAAATTTGGGTGATTTTTCGAAAAAAAAATTAAAATGACGATCTTAAATCATGATATTTAAATTTTGATTTGTTATGTTCATTGTCCATCTTCCAAACCAAATACCTATTTTGGACATTGCAACTTTTTTAATCTTTAACTCCCTCACTAGTTTCAAATTTAATAATTGATGAAATTTGTAATACTTGAAGCTTCCTCTTGTTCTGTTACATTGACTTTCAACTATCATATTTTTTTTCTTGTCCAAATAATGTTCACATTGATTACCTTTAAATTTCGTGAATGCATCAGCAACTTCTTTGCCAGATTCAGCGGCAATTAATTTCATGAAAAGTAGCAATTTTGGTTGAGGCGCATTTGCCCATTGCTCTATAGCTTTAGGGCGTCGCCATATTAAATTCACTTCGTTCCTTCCAAGCTTTTCGATGCGACCAGATGTCATTGGTTCAGCCTGTTAAAATTTCTTAAAAACAAATGCGGTAAATAAGTGACCAGATGAGTTGAAAAAAAAGGTAAAAATGGATAAGCAATCAGGCAGGTAAACAAATAGAAATTAATAATTAAAGAATATTCAGGTAAATCAATTTCAGGGATCTTCTGATCATGTAAAGGAAATGTAGATAAAGAAAAAAAGATTAGTACGAGGGAAATGACCGGGATTTCAGCACACATGACCAAAATGAAAAGATAATGATCAAATTTTAATATGCAACTCCTATTACTTAATGATTGTGCAAGTGATTTTTGTTATTACTTGTCAATAATTACCGTAATGGTAGTGTCGTTGCACTTTAATAACCATTGAATTTGACGATTGCTATTGTTGCATAATAAAAGTTTTACACGTGCCACTTCCGGTTGTTCTTTTTCTACAGCAAATTTCACGATGCTAAATGGAAACAAAAAGAAATGTATCAGTGAATAATTGAATCAGCTTTTGACAATTAATTGCAGTCACTGATCAAAGTCATTGGAATAGTACGACAATTACAGCTTGTAAATTCCCCCATTTGATAGATTCTTTTGTATTTGACAAATTTATCACATATCAAAGTTTTTTTTGCCTACAAATATCACAATATTTGAATAATTGAATTCTTTTTTCTTTTGTTCCTTAGCTTCTTAACAATAAATGAGAAGGTAACAACCTTCTGTTAAGTGGTTCGTTGTTTTGCGTAGTTTTAAACTCAGAACATGGTCGTACTTTGTCAGTGTTTCTGAAATTGGTCAAAGATTTTCGATAGATCAGTCAGCATTAATATCGTTTTGTCTTCACTGATTTAAATAAAGTTTTTTTTTTTGAACCGTTCATGCGTGAGTCGAAATTATCGTTTGTTAGCTTGTATCTTTCAAATAACTATCCAAATAACCTTTCAGTTCTAACAGTAGGCCTCCATCTCCCCTAAATTAAACTTCAGCACTTTAAACTTTTACTGATTGTTGCGAACTGTCACTGATTTTCGGAAGACCTTTCAGAGGTTAAAATTTGAAAATGAATTCAGGTGGTACTACCGAAATGCTCACTTCAAAGCCATCGCTGTCATTATTTAAGACCTGAAAATGATGATCAACCTTCCTCTCACTTATCCAGTAGATAAAAATAAACGTAGACAGAGCGGTTATTCGCTTTATAAATATATGTCAACATGATAAATGTCCCATGTAACGTGTTTCTGGTTATAAATGTTAAAACCTCACTGCAAAAGTTTCCACCATGGAAAAGTGTTCCATAAAATGTCAAATGCCAAATGTCCAATGGTTTTTAAAGTCCATGAACCCCTTGCTTAATTAAATCCTTCGTGCACATGAAAATGCTGAGTTCGGGGACAATGAGAAACAATCCTCAAAAACTTCAGGTTGGGAGACAATTTGCGAAAATTTTAGGTTGAGAGATAATTCTCGAAAATGCTAGGTTAGAAAAGAATTCGCGAAAATTCTGGGTTGGGAAATGATTTGCAAAAATCCCAGGCTGGGGAACAATTCATGGAAGTTCTAGATCGGGAAGCAGTTGTGTGTATTGCCAGACTAAGTTAGAGGGTAGGAACTTAGAAATTTTAATACAACGTAATGATGGAAGTACTTAAACTTCTCAACACACGTAAACTCTTCACAATTGGAAAATTGCAAGCTTGCCTGAATTTGTGCAGTTTGCTGGGAATATCATGAAAACGTTATTTTATACCTTTCCGGAAAGTACATACTATGCCTTTATTTATACCGGAAGACTGTTCATTGACTTAAAATACTCACATTCGTTGGTTCCCTAAAATCAAATCAAGCAAATAATCCCATCTGATTTCAGGTTAGATGAAATTTTGAAAATATTGTTTTACATTTATGCAGATATGTGGTCATTTCATTGCCTATTCAGGCTATTACACATTTCTTGGTTTAAGCAGTAATTAAGATATGTCGAGAAAGTCCTGACTAATACATCTAGAAAAACTTTAAATGGTGACACATGCAACGATGGTTCTTGGATCTTATATGAATTTCTGGACATAGATAGGCTATTCACGTAAACTGTTAACATACTGTGTTAAAATTCTGCTTCTGAGTACTTGTTAACAACCGAAATTTGTTCATTATACTTAATTAAAGATTTGAAGGAGTCAAATTTGTCAAAATCTTAAACAAATGGTTGAAGCCGAACAAAACGAAATCAACCTTCCGGAAATGATTCATTACAGGAGTACAACTATCTGAATAGTTCACATACTATTGGAATACTTCTTGTACGTAATCATCAGTGTATGCGTTTCTATTATTCACTACTACCAAGTCATTTCAACTGCGTTCGTTGAAAACAGTTCTAACTTTTCAATTGTTTCAATTTTTGAAAAATTTTGCATATCGTTAATTCCATAGGCATATGTAAGTGTTTATCTCTTATATAAATTTAAAGTCGTATGCAGCTGAAATCTAAATTTTAGGTTACAACGTAGTAATATGCTTTTTCTTCCCTCTTAATTGCGGTATTATAGAGATGTAACATAATATGAAGTGCATTGCAATGGGTAATCAGTTCATTTCGGATAAAAATTAGCCAATTTAATTGCACTGCAGTGGTAGACAATGCAGTGGATAATCAGTTCGCTATGGACGAATGTCTACAGTGGTAGTTGCGGTAAAAGTAAGTGGGATCAGTCAGAGAGGAGCTTCAAGAGAAAAGCAGTCAGTACACAATGTAAAAGTACAAGAATCCAATGGTTTCTTTGTGAACCATCCGGAAGATTTTTGTTCTCCATTTTCGTCTGCATTTCCGAATTAACATCAGTTTTTCCCCTGCAAAATATCGTTGAAAAATTCAAATTGATTTCAGATTCATATGATACAGTCTTTCTCACGTATTACGTGCACGTACGTCGCATCTTTTTCTGTCCTTACAAACAATGGTATGGTTCGCTAATACTGTGAATGAAGAAATTATGACATAAAACGTAAAAGTAAAGTAATGAGAAGTCACTGGAAAAATTTACTTTGGTTTCTCCTTTCTTAATACCATAATAGCTGGTTCCGAGTTCAATATTACTTTATGAATTGTTGGTTCTTCAGTTATACATATCGCATCCAGATCAACAACCGCTGTGACAATTATTAATTAGTACGATGCGATCTGAAATTAACTCTCCTCCCTTTCGATTTCTGATCTTGAACGCTCGATTATTAATTCAATTTAATTACACTTCAGCAGCATGTAGTTGACGTTTAATCTATAAAGGAGTAAAGATAACTACTGAATGGTATCTCGAAATTTGCCATTTGCTTCCCTAATAACTTTTTCAATCCTGCTGACCATTAATTTAATTTGTAGCATCATTTCCAGCGGAAAAAGTTCAAGCCAAGAGTTAAAATGTTTGGGACGTCGTCAAATTAAAGTGCATTCTCCGGTATCAAATGCTTTAATCAGTCCGGATGCTTGAGGAATTGCTTTATCATGTGATATTAGATAAGAATCCCACTCTTTACAAGTTCTGCTTTTTAACAGGAATCCATTATGCGAAAAAATACGTGTAAACGTGGTATCAGAATGCCAAACGTTAGCACGTAATGTATGCGCCTATTAAAATACTGGATGTCCAAATGAAAAGATAATATATACGCAGTCTTCATATGCATTTAGGACTATATACATCGTTAATATTATTTCATGTTAAACCAATAGAGTATAGCGTTATGACTAACTTTTGACCTTTAGAGTCAAATAACATTTCTTTTGACATGAAAGTTCACCTCCAAAATGCGCAATAATTGTTGGGAAATTGTTTTTCTGTTGAACTCGTTTCTCGGCGATACAGATTTATTCGGGATGTAATATTGTTCTTGCATAATATTACTAGTTAACAGTAAGAAAAAGGGTATAATATATATTACACGATGAATTGGTAAACAATGATAAATGAGTTATACAAAAAGCAAGTAATATGATCAACTAACAAACTCTTTGTCGTTTCCTTGAACAATAATTTGACTGTCGGTTAGTTGATAGATCGTTGAGCTGGGAATACGTTACGGGAAATGTATTTAGTGGATAGAAGAATATCATAGTTTGTTGTCCAATGGTGGCGGATATGCGAAGATATCGTTGGTTGTGGGTTAGTCGCGGAGGATAAGCGATGAAGGTGTATCGTCTGCCCGACTGCAAAAGTGAACTCAACTTC